GCTGCAGCCCAGCTGTGGCCTGAATATTCAGCACTCAGCCTGTGGCACCCATTGCTCTCCCGTTCACAGTGGAGTGCAGTCTCCCCATTCTTGTCCCCCCCTCCCCCCACCGCAGGAAGGAGAACACCTTCAGCATCAGCTTTCAGGTTTTTAAAAATTTATAAATTAATTTTCTTTTCATATTTTATACTGTCTGCTGTCTCCCTTTACCCATGTTTCTGTTGTTCATGGGGCAGGGGGGTTTGTACGTCGATCATTGCTACCCTGTTTCCCTGAAAGTAAGACATCCCCCCAAAATAAGGCCTACTTACACTTTTGCCTCTCCCTGAAATATAAGGCATCCCCCTGATAATAAGACCTCCCTGAAAATAAGGCCCCCTGAAGCTACTGTAACTCTGGACTCTGGACCGTAGCGGCAGGCACCGTAGTGGCAGGCGGCGCTGTGCAGCTCACTGTTGGCCGCAGCGCAGCCAGAGCAGACAGGAAGTGCGAGGTCTCTTTTAATAAAACAATAAACAATAAGTGTGTACCGTACTTTTTCATGAAAAAATAAGACATCCCCTGAAAATAAGAGACATAGCGCATCTTTGAGAACAAAAATTAATATAAGACAGTCTTATTTTGGGGGAAACGGTATCTGTTTCCCCTTTCTGTCACCACCTTCCCCCTACCCTCCTGGTATTACTACTCTCATTATTGGTCTTGAGAGGTTTATCTGTCCTGGATTGTGTTGCAAGCTCTTATCTGTACCAGTGTACATGTTCTGGTCTAGTCGGATTTGTAAGGTAGAATTGGGATCGTGATAGTGGGAGAGAGGAAACATTACAGAGCTAGAGGAATATTGTGAGTTTCATCAGTGCCATACTGCACCCTGGCTGGCTCGGCCCTACTTTGTGACCCATTTGTGAGGGGATGTCCTATCAGGTTTCAGTTTCAAGGCTAGTCTGCATACCATCTCAGTGCTAGAGTGGGGGGCCTAGGAGGCCTTGCATCGGCCATCTTGCAGGCACACCTGCCTTTGGGGTCTGAGCGCTGTGCTGGACTGACTGACTCTGCAGGGCCATCTCTCTCTGAGCCCCAGACCAAGCTCTCCTTCATCCGTTTGGTTATCCAGGTGAACACCCCACTCCCACCCCCACTGTTCAGATCTCAGTGCAGAGGGAGGGGGATGGGCAGCATAAAGCAGCAGCCCTGTCTTGGACCGAGCTGGCGGGTATTTGTGGTGGGTGCTGCCCTGAAGACTAGAGTTTTATTTTATTTTCTGGTTGCGCTACAAGTAGCTTCCTAATTTCACCCACTGTTGCGATCTGCCATCTTGGTTCCCTCTGGCACGTTGCCTTCACTTTCTGAAGAGGCTTCAGATGGAGCTCGCGCTTGTAAGGACTGGACACCGTGGCATGGGAGTCCATCTCACGTGCAGCAGTGTGATATCCACGATGGTTCTGGAAGTCAGCATCATTTTGTTTTATTCTGGCCTCTTAAATTTCTCCTAGGGGCCTGCTGCCTACGTAGGTTGCAGCGGGCCAGGAGGGAAGGGTTGCCCCAGTGCTGTAGTCTGTTTCAGTTGTGGGTGGATTTGGCGACTGGGGGGCATGGCCAGGGAGGAGGGGAATGAGAGGATGCTTCTGGCTGTACTCAGATTGCTGGCAATAGCTTCTAGGACCTGATCCTGCCTGTTCTCTAGGTTAAGATAGCCAAATAATGGGCAGACCCTCTGGTTCTTGATTCCAGGGAATCAGGACTTCTGGGCTTATGAGATCATGTTGAGAAGCGGGGTAGTCTCCTTTCCTCGTGTGTTAGCTTCATCTTCTAAGACTCACTACCATTGAGTTAGTTCTAACTCACAATAATCCTACAGGAGACAGAGCAGACCTGCTCACTAGGGTTTCAGAGGCAGGAAATCTTTACAGGACCAGAGAGCCTCATCTCCTCTTTGAGCAGCTAGTGGGCTGGAACTGCTAACTTATCGGTTAGCAGGCCAACGCATAACCCACTATGCCACCAGGGCTTCCTAAATTGCTGTCAATAGTAAATGTTAGAACTGGAAGGTCACCGTATTACAGGACACAGACTTGTGTGTCACACAGCCAGGGTCAGAACCCGCTGTGGTTTGCCGTGCCGTGAAAGCTTTCATTCCTCCCCGTTCCCTTCTCACTCAGGATGCTCCAGACCTTGTATGACTACTTCTGGTGGGAACGGCTATGGCTCCCCGTGAACTTAACCTGGGCTGACCTCGAAGACCGGGATGGACGCACTTACGCCAAGGCCTCGGACCTCTACATCACACTGCCCATGGCCTTACTTTTCCTCATCGTTCGCTATTTATTTGAACTGTGAGCATATAAACTTCCCCTGTTCCTACCCTAGCGGGTAGCCACACCATTTCTTGGCCTTCAACTTTGTCTCCTACTGTTAATTAGTTCAGTAACCTGGTGTTCTGGCTACCCAGGTCCCTGCCTACTGCATGCCCCCCAATGAAGGCGCCATTGTTTTCCTGAGGGCTCAGCACCCCCAGGCCCTTCAATGCTCACTTGTTCTCACCCCCCACCCTCCACTAGGCCTGGCCAGTAGGGAACACAGGCAGCTTTGTCAGCTGTGGGTAGCCACAGGAGACTGGGGCTGGGGGGGGGTGTTAGAAAATAGGGGAAACTGAGGCCCAGCATGAAGATGTCAGAGCTTGCAGTCTATTTCCAAGACTAAATCAAGCAAGACAAGAACCGAGGTGTTTCAAAAACGTGAGGCGCCTCTCTTATCCTTTCCTCAGTTACATAGCTACGCCACTGGCTGCACTTCTGAACGTAAAGGCGAAAACTCGGCTGCGGGCACCTCCTAATCCTACCTTGGAGCATTTCTACCTGACCAGTGGCAAGCAGCCCAAGCAGGTAGGAGCTGTACCTGGTGCCTTGGGAGCTACTGAATTTGGAAGGAGCAGAAAGGACTGGATGGGGTTGGTGGTGGGTGAAGAGATGGGCAAATGGAGGGACTGGCTCAGGTTCTTCCAGGGCAGGGAGGTGCTGCTGAGTTCTGAAGGAAACGGGCCTTTACATCATCTCCAGGTGGAGGTAGAGCTGTTGTCACGCAAGAGTGGGCTCTCTGGCCGTCAGGTAGAGCGATGGTTCCGCCGCCGCCGCAACCAGGATCGGCCCAGTCTCCTCAAGAAGTTCCGAGAAGCCAGGTAGGGTGGCTGGGCCAAGGGAAACCGGGTGGTAGAGGAAGGTCTGATGTTTCTTGCCAAGAGGTGGGTGTGGTAGGCATGGAGATGAGGAGGCCGGCGGGTGAACTGAGTCACTCGGTGTTCCCGAGAAGATCCCCGGAGGCACTTGGTGGTGGCTGGAGGGAGGCGGGTGCCTTTTCCTACCCTCTTCTGCTTCCTCTTTCAGCTGGAGATTTACGTTTTATCTGGTTGCGTTCATTGCGGGAATGGCTGTCATTGTGGATGTGAGTGGGGGCTGCTGAAAGGTGGGGAGTTGGTTCTCTGGCAAGGTGGGGGTGATGCTGTGGAATCTGAATCCCTCCTCTTAACCACTCACCATTTCTCTGCAGAAACCCTGGTTCTATGACCTGAAGAAAGTTTGGGAGGGGTATCCCATACAGGTATAAGAGGGGGGGTCATGTTTTCTTATGTAGGGTGATGATTGAGGGAGTCCATTTAGGATAGGAGATGCACCCCCTGTGAAGAGAGTCTGGAACATGTGGCAGGGGGGACTGAAGTCATGGAGCTAGAGGGACTGGGTTTGGAGCGGTGGGAGCCTTGGCCCCAGTCACTCTGGGGCGCTCACCTCTCCCCCTCTCCCTCAGAGCATCATCCCTTCCCAGTATTGGTACTACATGATTGAACTTTCTTTCTACTGGTCCCTGCTCTTCAGCGTTGCCTCGGATGTCAAAAGAAAGGTGGGTCAAAGATTTGAGCCTTTACAGCCTAGGACTCACTGCCTCCCCTTTCAGCTCTGGGGTTTTGGATGGAGCCATGAGATACAGGCACAGATGTGAGGGGAGGGAGGGGTGCAGGGAACACAAGTTCCTGGAGCCTGTGCCCTCTCTGTAGGATTTCAAGGAACAGATCATCCACCACGTGGCCACTATCATCCTCATCAGCTTCTCCTGGTTTGCCAATTACATCCGGGCTGGAACACTCATCATGGCTGTGCACGACTCCTCTGACTACCTGCTAGAGGTCAGCGGGTGTTTTCTCAAATCAGAGATGGGTGGGGTGGGTCATAGAGCCAGTGCCGGTAACTGGGGTGTATGTATGAATGTATGGAGGAGCCCGTGATGATAAATGGGGGCTATTTACACAGTCAGCCAAGATGTTTAACTATGCGGGATGGAAGAACACCTGCAACAGTATCTTCATCGTCTTCGCTGTAGTCTTCATCATCACTCGGCTGGTCATCCTGCCCTTCTGGTGAGCAGACGATACTCCGTTCTCAATCAGGAGTCCACCCCCACCTTCACTCCCTTTGACACTCGTTTCCGGTTTGTCCCAGGATCCTGCACTGCACCACAGTGTACCCTCTGGAGCTCTATCCTGCCTTCTTCGGCTATTACTTCTTCAATTCCATGATGGGAGTGCTTCAGCTGCTGCACATCTTCTGGGCCTACCTCATTTTGCGCATGGCCTACAAGTTCTTAACTGGAAAGGTGAAGGCTCTGTCTCATTGTGTGGACCCTGCTGCCCTCAATTCTCAGGAGCCCTGGTGGCAGAGTGGGCTTACACACTGGGCTGTTGACCCCATGATCAGTTCAAACCCACCAGGCATTCCATGGGGAAAAGATGCTGCATTCCGCTTAAAATCTTAAAGGGGTAGTTCTACCCTGTCCTACAGAGAATCACTGTTATGTCAGAACCGACCCTAATACTGGGTTTGGCTTCCAGAGAACCCTTGATTCTAGAAAATGTCCAAAGTCATTCCTACTCCACTAGCAATCCTTTGAAAAGCTGTAAAGGGGGCTGTGGGGGCAGCAGGAACAGGCCTGAAAAGATAGTTCTTAGAAGTTTGAAGACATAACCTCTCCTTTCCTTTCCTTTCCACAGGTGGTAGAAGATGAACGCAGTGACCGGGAGGAAACAGAAAGCTCTGAGGGGGAGGAAGCTACAGCTGGGGGAGGGGCCAAGAGCCGACCCCTTGCCAACGGCCACCCCATCCTCAATAATCACCACAAGAATGACTGAACCACGGTCCCTGCTGCTCCCAGATTGTCCAGTACAGCCAAGCACTGCCCCCTCTCCCCACAGGGTCACTGTCAGCTCTGGGGAGAAAGCAGAGTGCTCCACGTCTACCCCCTCGCTTCTGTGTCACCCAATTGCCTTCAAACCAAATTCTCACTTAGCTTCCTCTCATGTGGAGGGGAGGCTGGTTCTATCCTGCTCGAGGGGAATGATTTCTTTCCTCTCTATCCTTTAAGGTGTCCGTTCCCATTGTTTTGAGACCCTTCCTCAACTGGAGGGGTGGGCTTTACCGTTCACATTCCTTATACTCCAGAATTTGGCCCTGTTTTTTGCCTTTGACTCCCTGACCTCCAGGGTCAGGGTTGTGCCTTATTGTCCCATCTGTGGGCCTCATTCTGCCAAAGTTGGATCACCTTTCTAAGTGCCCCGAGTGGGCCAGGAAACCAAAGCTGAGCTGCCTTGAACCTCTTCCCTTCTGAGACACATGTGGACTGAGAGTAGGAGGGCGCACACAGCCCTGACCCTCCCTACCTCTGCCAAAAGTGGGGCCTGTGCGGACAGTTCCTCGTATCACTTCTCTGCCAGCCACCCCTGTAGCCACAAGTCCAAGATCCAGCTGCCCTTCTCCGGCATCTTCCTTTTCTCTTCAGCTAGGCAAGCTGTTGGAGTAGAATGGCAACTAGTTTTAATTTTATTTATTAAACGTGGGATTTTGGTTTTAAAGCCAGAATTACAGCATCTGGCATTTCAGCAGAGGGACCATTTTCAGACCAAATGTACTGTTAATGATTTTTTTAATTAAAATATATTAAAGTTTAAGTAAAACATGGCAACATATGTTTGAGACTATTAGGAACTGAGAAAGGGATAAACTAAATAAACTAAGATGATCTTCCTTATGGCTTCCTCAGATACATAACATTTTCTTTGTAAAATTTCACGTGAAAAATAAAACCAATGAGAAAGGTAGAAGATTAATGACAGCTGCCCTTTGTGGGGTGGAGGGGCAGGTAAAATCAAACCACAATCTTTCACCACCTTGTGACAACTTTTACCATCTTGTTAGGACTTCCAAAATATCACAGACACTGGGGATGGTAGATGTACAGCTCCAGGGAAGAGTCTGCTGGAAGGATGAACACTTGAGCAAACATGAGGTGTGGGCGCTGGGCAGCAGCAGGACTGAAGGGGAGTCAGGCCCAGGTGAGAGTGGTGGTCTCTGCCCACCCCCCAGATGGCAAGGGTGGAGGACCCTGCGTACTAGCACCACAGTGGAAGGGGAGGGATCACCGGATCCAAAAGCCCCAACTCTTATCTACTGGGAGCGGGGTCATTAGACTTGGGGCCAGTGGTCAACAGTCAGGGAGATCCAGTCCCTCCGGAAGGACAGCTCAGGGAGGCTTCTGAAGGCTTTAGAGATGGCTGTTCTCTAAAGAAGACGCCCTCTACACTCGATGGCCCCACAGCAGCAGAGAAGCTCCTTGCCTTCCACGCTGCCCACTTCGTAGTTGTAGTCCCAAGTAAGTTCTGTCCCAGCTCGGATTCGCCTACAGGGAAAGGATGAGGCACAGTGAGGACAGCAGAAAACCCACATGCCCCGAGGGGGTGTGGGTGGAGCCGTCCCTTGCGGAGAAGGGGCCCTTAGGATTCCAATGGTCTTTGCCACCCTCCAACCCTGGGCCTTTTCTCCTCCCTGACCACCTATCCCGAACTCCCTCTTACTTGCTGGCAAAGAAGGCCACCCAGGGGAAGCGAAGATCATGGGTATCCACGAAGACATTCTGGACAAATAGGTTGGGGCTGCAGCTGTGCTGTGGGTGTAATGATAGGACAGAGTAAGAATCTGCCCTTGTGGCCTAGGAAGAACTAACTGGAAGACAAATGATCCCATCGGACTCCTCACCATAGGGAGATTCTGAAGGAAAGCTACCTCTTTCAAGTCCTTCGAGGTAAGAATTTATAACAAAAGGTAGGTTTACCTAACTGTATTAAAACTAGAAATTACAGGGCCACAGGATAAAATCCAGAATTTGGTGGTTGGGGGAAAGGTCTCACATTGAGGTAACGGCCCAGGTTGCCTTCAAGCTTGGCATCAATGATGTAACAAGACTCTTCGCCATCATAGAACTGGCGTGTGTTCTTCCGAACTGGGGCACTCTCGCCCTTTTCCACAGAGGCCATGTTGGTTGACTTAATGGCAATTCCATGAGTCGATTTAAGAGCAAAGCCTCGGGTTGATTTTACTGCAACTTGGCGCTTCATTGGACCTGGAAAGGAAGGAAAATGGGGTCAGGACCCACTCTTTATTCAGGACTGTAGCTAATTCTACCCCATTCTTATCTTACCCCCTGCTCAAGAATACCCCCCCCCCCCAAATTTTTTTTTTTAAAGGCTCTGAGGCAAAGACCCTAAACGGCATTTTTTTCAGGAGCACTTGCGCTTTTGGACAAAGAGGGTAAGGGGGAGCAGGGACCTCAACAGACGTGGGAGAGGGGCCATGCCAACCAGCAATACATGTTCTGCTGAGTCTACAGGCGCCTTCTCAGAGAGGCTTCAGCTCTAAGACCTAGAGGGGCCTCCCCAGCCCTCTTGGTAGTGGTGGCTAGGTGCCGTGGAGCCAGTTCTTAAGTGGGCTTCCCCATCTGATCTGCTCCTTCCCATCACGCCCCATATGCTTCTGGACTACCAGACATGTTCTTCTTGTCCTCAAAGTCATCCCCTTCTGAGCCAGAGGAGATGGTCTGGACATCATCACTGTCGACCGCTGTGGCTGAAGTCTGACCAACAGTGGGCTTTCGGCTGGTCCCACTTTCCCCCTCACTTTCTGTGCTGCTGGAGAGGGTCAGGACATCCTGGACCAAGAAGAAGGGGGAAGAGTAAGTGGAGAGCCTCTTTCCCCAGTACCTGCTTTGATAGATGGCTAAGCAAGAAGCACCGACGGTATAGCAAGAGGATGATTGGATGTTGGGTAAAAGAAAATGAAACTCAAGCTGGAGATGCGAGGAAAAAACCTAAGAATTATAGTGACGAACTTGGTGACATGAGGAGAATGCCATGCTGAGTAAACAGGTTGGATATGGAACAGCCTGGGAAAGCCACTTACATCAGGGTTGGACTGAGCAGAAGCCATAAGTCGACGGCTCTGATGTATACTGGTCTTACTGGGTGGGCGGCGGAGCCCTTCAGGCTTCATGGGAGAAGGATTGTAACCATAGTTTCGAGAGCTTTCAGCAACTCTGATGGGAGGGTAAATAGTCATATCATTGGATATCTCAAAGATTATTGCTTAAAAAAAGGCAGACTGGGGAAGAGGTTAAAAAGAAAAGGCACTTACATGGACATCTTGTTTCTGTCATCAGGGTCCTGTAAAAAGAGCAACTGAAGGGTTATATGCATTCAAGGTCCAAGGTACCAAATCCAATGATTACAACACCTTCTCTCCAAAAAAACTCTAAAGACATTAACCAGTGAGAGGCACACCATTTGAAGTGTGACGTGGATGAAATTACTCTGTAGCTTGGCAGTAACAATGATCTTGTCATCCTTAACCACTTGGAAGGGGCCTTAAGCTCTCTCACTGGGGGTAGGGTTGAATGATGGGAGTAGAATCTTTTAACCAGGGACAGAGCTTACTTGAAATGTGGAAGTTTCGACATTTAAAGTATATTTAGAATTGTTTTATACTCTAATAGAAGGAAGCATTGATTGTACATAATGTGAAATAACATTTAATAAAAAAACAAACAAACACGTATACATCCTTATTTTTGGAATTTGTCAGATTTTTTAGCCCCACCACCAACAGGCTAGCTGATTTTAAAATAATTTGGTTCCTTAAACCAACAAAGAGATCGAAGACCATCAGTTTGCCAAAAAATATCCATAAGTAAGCATTCACAAGTGAAGACTACTGGTGAAACTGCATGACCCCTTCTATAAGCCATGGGCCATTCATTGCCCTCCGCCATGTTTAGCCTTTCAAGTTTCTTGGGAAGCTGCCCTTCCAGTTACAGTGTATGTGGCTACCTGGCAGGACCTGTACAGTGGCTGCGTGAATCCAAAGAAACAGGCCTCCCACCACCAATCCTGCCACCAGGGTCCACTTAGAGGATAAGAATGTCACCTAATTGTATCAACATTTGCTTCACCTAAAACAAGCCAAAACAAAAATTCCCACCCCTTGATTTCAGCATGCCTTCCATTACGGAAAACATGATAGCAACAAAATAGTCAAAGCAGACAGCAACTCATGAAAGGGTTAAATTTGTCACTAAACCAGCTAAAGGGGCTCTGAGCTTCCTTTTTGGCACTGCTTACCTCTTTCTTGGCCTGCTTGGTGTCCCCCTCATCCTTGAAGCCCAGTCCTGAAGTGGAGGCCCTCTCAAGCTCTCCTCGGGCTCCCCAAGCCCGGCCCTCCCCACCTTCCATGGCCTTGAAGGAGGACCGGCTATCGGAGTCAGCGAAGCCGCCTTCGCTGACACTATTGCAGCTCAACCAGGAGGCCACTTTATTCTTGGGTGTCTCTTCTGAAGAAGGTGGATTGCAGCCACCAACAGGGAAAGATGGAGGGACAGGCATGTGTGGGGGCCCAAGGTCTGGGGGGCGGGAGTCCTTGGGGGCCATCTCAGACAAGCCATTCTCTTTCTGACCCCGGGTCTGTCGCCGGGTCGCATAGCTGCGCCACACTGAGCTGGTGCTGAAGTCCTCATCCTTACAGAAGTTATCATCTGAACTATCGTCATTGGACTCCTCAGGGTCATCAGTACCACTGTTGCCATCTTCCTGGTCCTTCAAGTCTACACCACTGCTGTCAGAGGAGCAGGCGGCATCACTCTCATATCCTTCCTTGAAGTTCTCCACACTCTCAATATGGTCCAGATTTGCAAAGTACTCATCACCCATTTCCAAGCCTTCCTTGTCTGCAAAATCATCTGTCAGGATTTTGCCTAGGAATGAAAACAAAAAAGTTCAAGAAAGGCCTTTTAGGGGACCTTTCCCAATACCTAACCCTAACCCAACAGTGTAAAAGTCACACTGCCTCCATTACGACCTCTCTGGTCACACCTCCCCTTCCTTAGTCAAGTAACTTAGAAGTATGAATTAGGTGGGGGTTTACATCTCAGATGATCATTTTTGTACTCCACAACTTAAGCTGCTCTCAAACTCACTTCTACGTGTCTAACTGAAGAACAAGGAGAACCTGGTGTATTTGTTCACCTTGTCCCTTTATCCCTTCCCATTTCTCCCTCTTTCTGCAGGGGTGAAGTGGAGAGATGTGGGAGAAAACAGTATCCTGGGGTCCACAGTCGTGTCTCTGCTCTGAAACATCATTATTTCCACAACAACAGCCGTCCTTCCCATTCTTGTCTTCCCCGGTCCATTTACACAGGTCCATCACTCCTGTTCCTTACAGAAGAAAGTCCCCGACTTTCCTTACTCCTCGTTCACACGCCAGCTACTTTCTTGACAGGTTCAACTGACTCAATTCCCTACCCTGTCCCAACCCCAGAAAGCAGCCCTTACAGTTCATCACCAACCTGCATAAATACAGACGAAGGAGCCTTTGGCAATGTCATCCAAGCAGCGGATACCCCAGCCCTTGTTCTGGGTCTTGAATAACTGGAGCCGAACTTGTAGGCCATGCTGTACCAACCGGTTTGTGCACATGTTGGGGTCACATTTACAGCGTTTGTTACATTCATATACCCTAGGAGGAGTTTACCACACAATCATTCAGGCCATGTAGCCATCAAACCCATGAAATGTAATTTTTAATGTGTCACAGAAAATTAGATAATGATCTAAGTAAGTGGATTTATTGAACTATGTCCTTTAGTTCATTTGGGAATATATCTCAAAGAAATAATTCACAAGGAGGACAAGTGATATGCACAAATGGTTAAGGCAGTACAATTTATAACAATGAATACCAGAATGCCTAACATCTGAGGCTATGATTCAAATAGAGATTACAGAGCCATTAAAATAAGAGGGAGCTTTAAAAAAATTCATGGAAAAATTAACATTATCTCCTAGTTCCATTTTCCATGAATTTTTGAAGCCCTTCATGTACAGATGACCAGTTTGAAGCTAAGATAAAAGTATGTGAGAACAGCACAAATCAGTATAGAGATAGCGGACACTAAATGTTCACAGGATTACATATATATTCCTCATAAAGTTGATTTTCCTTTTTCATTCAAAATTTATTCAACGCCAGGAACTGTGGTCAGCATTGGGAGCACAAAACACTGAAAGACAAAGTTTCCGCCTTCACGGGGCTCAATGGCTCATTTACTTTAACAACGTAATTAAAAACAAGAAAAATATAGAAATTAATCACTGGGATATAGCGAACACCAACATTAAAGGATCTGGGAAACAGAACTGAGAAGAGAGCGTATGCGGGCAAACTCTCTAACATTCCTACGTTAGGGAGTCTGGGAGACCAGGGCTCCCGTGGAGGAGACCTTCATGTTGGTGGGTTGGAGATGCACTCCAGTCACATTCTCTGAAGTGAAAGTTATTCCCCACAATGTCCCCGATAATAATGCCACCTTTAAGGTGGTGTTTGCAGACACATGGATGCTCACTATACTCTTGGAGGTCAACTGGTTGGACGCTATCTGCCATCAAAAGCAATCAGATCCAGAACTAGCAAAGAACTCCTTGAGAAGAGGGACAAAGTCGGAGGGCTCGCCTTACCTGACTTTACAGCCACTACACAGCCACAGTGGCCCAAACAGCGTGGTACTGGAATAATGACAAATACTCAGACCAATGGAAAAGATCAGAAACCCCCAAAATAAAACCATCAGCATATTGACAATTGAGACAACTGATCTTCTACAAAGGCCCAAAAGACATCAAATGGAAAGCAGATGCCCTCTTTAACAAGTGGTGCTGGAAACAATGGATATCCATTTGTAGAAAAACGAAACAAGATCCTTACCTCACCCCATGCACAAGAACATACTCCAGGTGCATCACAGACCTAGAAGTAAACCCCAAACTATCAGGGCCGTCAACGAAGGAATTGGCACAAACCTAAGAACCTTGGCTCAGGGAATACAATAGGGTTAACTTCAATAGGGAAGGGTACACACACAGGTGGACCTGAAATCGACAAGTGGGCTATACTAAGGATAAAACACCTATATGTGTGGAAAAACTTCACCGAGAGAGTAACCGGAGAGCCCATAGAGGATTTTTAGCCATGATACAACAGACAATGGGCTTATTGTTAAAATCTACAATAGCCTCCTACCCTGCCAAAAGAAGAAAACAGTTAACCCCCTGAGGAAGTGGGCAAAAGACCCCAAAAGAAGTTTCACTAGGGAGGAGTCTCAAATGGCCAATAAACATGAGAAAATGTTCCCGATCATTAGCCATCAGAGAAATGCAACTTAAAACAACCTAACACCCTTGAGGATAACCCAAATCAGAAAATCAGAGAGCAACAAATGTTGGAGGGGATGTGGCGAGATAGGAACTCTCCTCCACTGCTGGTGGTGGTCGTGTGGATGCATACAGCCTCTGTGGAAAGCGATATGGTGATATTTAAAGCAAATGGAGATTGAGCTACCTTATCCAGCTATCTCTCTACTGGGCAGAAGAGGTAAGAAACAGACAACTACTAGTTGTCCAGGCCCCAATGTTTATTGCAGCACAATTCACAATCACAATAAACTGGAAACAATCTAAATTTCCATCGATAGATGACTGGAGTAGAAAACTGGCACATACACACATGGAGTACTATGCATCCCTAAAATGCACTGATGATCCCATGAAGCACAGCGCCTCCTATGAAGAGTTGGGGGAAATGATGCTAAGCGAAGTTAGCCAATCACTAAAGGACAAGTACAACATGAGTGCACTGAGGTAAGCATAATCAGCACAGCAGGTAGAGAAGAAAAGCCACCTGTCTCACACTATGCGGGCGGAGATACAGGCATTGGAGTGGGGAACAGGCCAAACTCAAGGATGTACATGTCATTCCAACATAAAGAAGAGGAAAGGGGTGAAGGGGGAGGGAGAAAAGGGGGAAAGAAAGGGGGGAAAGGCAAGGGGGGGAGGCAATGGCACTAGGGGAGCAGGGCACTAACCCACCCAGGGGGAGAGTATCGGTTGTCTCCACAGAATTGGGAGTGTGCATGCAGACCACACCAGGCGCACCAAACCTTGAAGGCAATGTAACCACATGAAGCAACTCATGAACAGAGAGGGTTACAGGGTCGGCCCCAACCAGAGCCAAACTGACCCCCTCCTAGAAGTATGTGCTACAGAGGACAACACTAAAACTGCAGGCTGGGGAGAGGGGCTGGCCTGCCACTCCCACCTGGAAGCAAACCAAGAAGGAAAAAGAGAGTGTGAGGGTCTAGACGCCCTAGCAGCACTCTAAGCCCAGAGGTCAGCATCCCTGCGCGGAGCTGCTAAGGCACAGAGGACTGTAGGGCCGACAACAGCTCGAAACTCCATGACCCCTCCCATACCTTGACAGGACAATACTGAGGACACATGGTGGGGAGTGAGGCCCGTCGGAACCCCCCACAGTGGGGCAGCAAACCAAGAAGGGAACATAACATCAGCAATGGGAGCCAAGCCAAGCCACAAAGCCCCTGAGGAGCCCCAAAATAGACCTCCGGCTAGGAGGGGCAGTTCCCAGAACCCTCCACCAGGACCTGTGGTGATATAGTCATAAAGGTCAGTGGACAGACCTGGAATTATCTATGCTTTTTCGGCTAGTTATTAAATACATATATATATATATCATATATATGTATTTTCCCTCCATATATATTGTTTTCTTTTTATTAAATTTTTTGTTTTCTTTTTGTATTGTCTATGTTACTGTTGGTTTCCCTACCTATACAAGAAGCGTGGGAAGGAAGCCCGAGGAGAAAGCGACGGACCAAAGGTTCCGCAGGGACTTAGGGGGTGGGGTGGGGAAGGGAGCGGTGAGCAAACAACACCACAGACAGGGGAACAACTAGGGGATTAAAATTAACAATGAGGAGGACGACATAGAGATCCTGGGGGTGTTGGAGCAATAGCATTTTAGCTGAGAGGAATTACTATGAGGCAGAAGAACGGAGAGTAGATGTGGGAAAGGAGAAAGGTAAAAGGAAACAGAGGAAAGATCTAGGAAGCAAAGCTATGGATAGAGGTATAAACATAGGTGTGCACTTATCTTTATTCATACAAAGAGGCATTGGTATAGGTACATATTTATATGGCAATACATTGAGGAAATGGATGAACTTTGCGCTTCTGCTCAAGCCTTGCCTCAACGCAAGAACACTTTGTTCTAACAACCTGGCATTCTGTGATGCTTACTCTCCCAGCACGATTGCTGAAGATAAAATGGGTGTACAGCAAATGTGGTGAAGAAAGCTGATGGTGCCCGGCTATCACAAGTGTCTGAGGTCTTAAAAGTGGCCATTTAGCAGAGAAGCAACAAGTCTGTGCAATCATGAGGTGTTGACGGGATCAGGTAACAGGCATCAGAAGACCCAAAACAAACAAACAAAACATATTGTTGAGAATGAGTGGGGTAGGAACAGAGACCCCAAACCCATCTGTAGACAACGGGACGTCCTCTCACAGAAGGATCCCAAGGAAAGGATGAGTCAAATGGGGAAGTTTAGTTCCGATGAAATACACAATATTTCTCTTGAGGCCTTCTCACCCCTCCCTATCACGACCACTATTTTGCCTTTCACTGCGGGGCAGGTGGGAGCATATACACAGGTACAGGTAAGAGCTCAGGACACACGGAATCCAGGTCAGATAACCCCCTCAGGTACAGAAATGGGAATAGCGGTACCAGGAGGGTAGGGGGAAGGTGGGGAGAGGAGAGACTAAGAAACCATGGGGGAAGAGGGACAGCAGTTGGTGTACGATATGAAAATAATAATTTATAATTTATCAAGGGGTCACAAGGGTGGGAGGGAGTGTGAAAAGAGGAGCTGATATCAAGTGCTCAAAATAGAATGTAAATGTTTAAAAAATGATGGCAACTTATGTACACATATGCTTGATACAATTTATTTATGGACTGTTATAGAGCTGTTAACAGCCCCAAAAAATGATCTTAAAAAAAAAAATAAAGCAATGAGACCCTATTGTTTGTCCCATCCTAAGTACTTCCGAAAAGGATTATAGATCGCTCTCCTGGAGAAGAGCTCAAAGACATCTACAGTCAAGCCAGCTCAGAGAAGACAAAGGTTAGGCTGCCGTCTTGACTCTACAACCTGCCCATCTTGTCATGTATATACCTCCTGTCACTTCTATACCTCTAGTGCCGCCCCTTCCTGTTGTGTGTATACCCCTAACTTGTCCCCCTCCTGTTACATGTATGCTTGTAGTACAACCCCTTCCTGTGACATATAAGCTTACCATGGCTTGCTTGCCAAGATGATCTGAGTCTGAGTGACTAAAGGACGGTGCTATCTCATTCTGGTTCTGGTCTTCATGGAAGAAGGGGAGCCCTTGCATGCTCCATTTTGTCTGGTGTCTCCTTCATTTACCCCTTAATTACATAACTGCTCTTTGGACCCATTCGATTGTGGGGATGCTGGTCCCCCACAAAAGGAAGATAATACATTTATAGTGAAACATTGCTATCATTTCAGAGATCAATGTGTCTATTCAAATTGCTGGGTTCAATGTTAGGATTTTATGTCTTATTTTCTTTGAATGCAA